AGAACAATGGGACTGAGAAAGTAAAAGAAAAAAATGCATTGCTATGCATTAGTAAGCATACTACCTTGGGTGGAAGTACAGAAATGCCGGAACACTGAAGCTATATTCCACCACTTTAAAAATCCTAAATTAAAATGAGATAAAAGTTTATCACATACTTTAAGTGATTTATAACTAAAAATTAAGTTTTAATTTTTCTCCAAAATTTTCACTTTTTCTGCTGAATTTGCCTTTACTTCATTCAAAGTAACACAGATCTCTCTACAGGAACTTCGAATAAACCACTATGGTTAAGATGAGAACAGGATGCCCATGTAGGCTATGGATGCCTCGTCCCTGAATGCATTCAAGGCAAGGCTGGAGATGTGTCTCTGGGCAGCCTGGTCTGGCTGGAGCCTTCATTGGCGACCCTCCCTGTGAGGGAGGCTGAAATTAAATGATCTTCGAGGTCCTTTTCAACCAAGGCCTTTCTATGAGATTATAAAAATTCACATTTATACAAATTCTCTAAAGGCTTAAGATCTGGCCCTACCAAACAACAGTTAACCAAAAATAGTTTATCTCATATACAATGTCCTGTATTTGTTCAATGATTATGTAACCAAAGCTGGGTTTTGAGTATTTGGTTTTTTTTTTTCCTTTATAATGCATTTATAAAATACTATATCTGTGAAGCCACAAACTTTATTTTTTATAGCACATGGAAAGTATAGTTTTGAAAGAGACTCTTTCTCTTTATATATTTGTCTTTACATGTTTCTTTTTGTCTAAAATAAAATTAATACCAACTTAATATACATTAACCTAAATTATATGATGAGTGAAATTAAGCTTGGTGTAAAATATGTTTAACTAAACAGCAATGAGAAAATATATATTTTTCCCCTAGTTTCCTTTATTTCACTATCCATATATAAAAATGCAACTTCCGAATTTATTTTGGATCTTTTACTATCAGCACATAGAGAAAACACATACGTTTCTTCACTGTAACTTATGGATGTTTAGATCTTAGTGGTTAGATATTTAGATCATAATGTTTAAGTCTTACAAGACTTTATTAAAATATTCAGCATAGTATAGAAAAGAAAAAAAAGTAATTCTACAATAATATTTGACATCTCAGTAAACTGCAGCATTTGGACTACTGCTATTTTTGTTGTTGTTTGGTTAGTTTTTAATTAGAGTTATTTCATAAGAAACCTCAGTTTTCAACTTTTTTCAAATGTATCAGTTTAGAACAAGCTAGTAATATAATCTGCTGACTGAAACTGATGGCAAAAATCACTTTAGGCCACACAGTAATGCATTCAATTACTCTTTTTTTTTTTTTTTTTTTAAATCTCAAAGTTATTATTTTTTTTTTGTCTTTTTTTCTTTTTGATAACAATCTTACTCTCCCAACTGTAACATCAGCCATAAAATTTTAAGGAAGTGTGAAATAGCTTATGGCCCTGATCCAGCAAATCACTTAGGAGAGAATGCAACTGGGTCTTGTCATACAATTGCATATGCACTTATATCACCTGTATAAAGCTCTGTTCTTTTCTTGAAGTATTCATATGGAACTTCCCATGTCCCAGTTTGTGCCTGTTGCCACTTGTTCTGTTGCTAGGCACTGCTGGGAACAGCCTGACTCAACCACTTGATTTCTACCCTTCAAATATTTATAAGTGCTGATGAGATTCCCTCTCAGTCTTCTCAGGTCTCTCAGCCTTTTCTCATAGGGGAGATGCTTCAGGCATCTTTGTAGTCCTCTGCTAGACCACTTCTAGAAATTCCTATTTTTCCTGAACTGAACAGCTCAGAACTGGACACACTACTTCAGATGTGGCCTCACCGAGACAAAGCAGAGGAAGAGGATTCACCTCCCCCCACCTGGCCGCCACATTCTTCTTAATACATCCCAAGATACCATTGGCTTACTTGGCCACTAGGGCACTCTACTGGCTCACAGACAATCTGGTGTCCACAAGACACCTAGGTCTTTCACTGCTCCTTTCCAGTAGGTCATCCCCTATCCTGTACTCATGCATGAGGTTATTTCACTCCAGCTGTTGGACTCCACAATTGCCCTTGTTGAACCTTATGATGTACCTCTTCATTCAGCTCTTTAGCCACTTCAGGACTTGCTGAATTGCAGCACACACTTCTATTGTGCCAGACAATCTCTTTCCCAGCTTCATATTATCAGGGTTATCAAGGGGTTTCAAATCACATAATAAACAATAATAAAAAAATAAATATTTTTAAACCAAATTTTAACCAAATTTTTAATGTGATACTGCCTGTACTATCACTAAACAGCGTGCTTTCACAAAGCTGAATAGGACTGATGAGGAAAAATACATTTTCTGAGTTCAGTCGTTCCTAATATTGTACTCTACATTTTCATGGGCCAAACTGTTCACCTCATCACAGCTGAAGTACACATCTCCAATGAATTTTATAATCAGTATACTTAAAATCTGTACACAATCCAAGTGTTAGCATACTGTCATCTATTTTAGGTTTTTTTTGGTGCTGACAGTGTCGCTTTCTTTTTTATAATAGATGAAGTTCTCTAACTATAGAAATACACATTTTTATTCATCTCATTTTCAGTAATCATTCCTTTTTTTAAATATATATATATGTATAGCTATAATTCACTTCTTTAAATGCTTGCTAGTTGACAGTTTGGATTAGAGTGTCAATGAAATGTACAATTTACTCTCCAAGGTCTTGACTTACATTTAAGCTTTGGAAAGATCAATAGAATTTGCCCTGACATAAATTTTAATAATAAGGAAACTTGAGTGCAAGTTGACTAATACCTATGAAGTGAGCAAAGATCACTGACCTCCTCAGTGTTTGAAGCTATTCTAGTAGCTAACAGTAAACTACAGGAAGAATATGTATTCAATGTTATCCTAGTATAATTATATTTGTCTATCATAAAGCACTATCAGATATTGAATATATACTCAAAACATGAATATAATTAATGATGCATTTCTATTAATAAAAGGAAAAGCATGGTAATGTGCAGAAGGGTTTATCAAAACTCATAAGAAATTTTGAAAATTAGATTATTAGAAGTGTTCAGCAGAATCATGCATGAAGAGAACATTTAAGAAAAATTCTGCTAAATCAGATAAATTAACTCATTGTTTGGAGTCACTAAATCAGATAAATTAACTCACTGTTTGGAGTCGCTCCAATAAGGCTTTGTTAAGTATTTTTATTATTAGGTAAGGCTGATTATCTGTACCACGTTTAGACACAAGTTTAGGCAATTCAATTTCATGTCTGAGTCACATGTGACTGACATATAACATCTCTGGCAAGCAATAGGAACGTCATCTGGAAAATAGTTGAGTCTCAACCATCAGATCAGAGAAGACAGGAACTGTTTTAGGAACATGTTGAATGTGTAGTGGAGCAAAATGTCTACTTTGTAGCTGTATTTAAAGCACAAACTGTATTTTAAATAGAATTATATTTTAATAATTATATTAAATATAGCAAAGAATGCTGAGAAAGTGTTAATCTCTAAACTTTGAAATTTCTAGTTTAAATTTTGCAAAAAAAAAAAAAAAAGGATTAAAGTTGTAAATGAAACTGTAAAAGGGGCAAAGAAAACAAATCAATTTGAGTTACTGTATAGAAAGCATTTTATTATAAGGAATAAGTGTTTATGAGACTTGAGATAGGTGAGAATTTCAAATTCTTAGTCTGGACGTGCTGTTACAGATCTCATGGTACTGCATGTATTTCATATACATGAAATTATGTGATTAAAAAAATCATAACTTCATGTAAAAAAAAAAAAACAAAAACAAAACAAACAAACAAAAAAAACCAACAACAATAAACCACAGCATTCATTTTCTTCCACAGCACTATTAAACCTATGGCCATTTTGGTGTCATCCATAAAAATGGCCAGAAGCCTTGGCTGTACTTTCTCCACTACAGTGACACCAAGTAGTTATAAGGTTTTTACTTAGGTTATAGGCTAGAAGGTTATAAAATATTTATATAAGTTCTAGTATATAAAAAATAATATTTTTTTGAGATTATTTTAGTATCAAGGATCATCATCCTCATAATCTAAGCCTGAAAAGACTCGATCTCCAATTGCCCACTTCCCTTCACTTTCCTGCATCCCTGTTGTTGTCATCTCTATTCACTGAAAACACTTTAAACCAAATTCTGTACAGCAAGTATCTCGTCAGGCTGGCTCCACCCCATCCCAGTGCCTTACAAACAAATCATTTGTGTTTGAGGTGCTGAAGTGCCGCAAGGCTCCATCTGAAAATATGAAAGTATGTAAAAGAAGCCTGAGATGGTCTCTTGACTAATGGGAGAGAATCTTCCACCATGGACATTATACTTCTCCCTACAAGTTCTCAGAATGCTGATGACTTACCAGAATGCTGGGAGTCTTACCCCCATGAGGAAGATTCATGTATTGATCTTGGGATGAAGTGGAACAGTAGAACCACAGAATGGCCAGGGTTGGAAGGGACCTCAAGGATCATGAATCTCCAACTCCCCTGCCACATACAGGGCCACAAACTCCACGTTTAATGCTAAACCAGGCTGCCCAGGGCCCCATCCAACCTGGCCTTGAACACCTCCAAGGATGGGGCATCCACAACCTCTCTGGGCAGCCTGTTCCAGTACCTCACCTCTCCGAGTAAAGAATTTCCCGAGAAAAAAAAAAGAAAGCTGTGCATAGTGAAAAACAGGTACTTGGAAGAATAGCTTCATGTTTTTTCTCTTGTATAATGTATATGGAATATTATTAATAAGGTTTTGGGTATTAATTTGGACAATATCTGCTGTTTGACAGGTGAGGAGGGAACTAGTCATAGACTGTAAAGAGGCTAACAGGGTCTCTGGGGAAGAGAGGAAATGAGGATTTATATTATAGAAATATGTGAAAAAACGCAACAATCTCATATTCAATAGAGAACTGTATTTTAATCACTTCTCATGATAAAGTCTCCCCTTTTCCCACCTAAAGAGTAAAAAGTTTCCTGGATTTAACAAAATATATTCAAGTGGAAAAATACTGCTCTCAATCCACCACTGTTCACAGTAAACATCCTAAGCGTTACCATTACAAATAGCTAAGATACTGGTATTTCCTTCAGCTTGTGAATTAGACACATTAATTTTCAGTGCATCTTCAGATAAGGATCACAAAATCTGTCAGAATGCTAGTATCCCATGAAAGCTGCTACTTTCCCATTTGCACGTTCAACCAGTGGCAAAGATGAACAGGTATACCAGTGATGGATGCACATGTACACAGAAGACATTAATTTGGCCAGCTACCAAGATGGTCCAAACAGAAGGCACTGATTTTAACAACATCCACACGAAAAACTACCAAAAGTGATATAAAACAAGCACAGAACAACAAAACACTGTCCTCCTTTCTGATCAATCTACGATTGAATCTCACTTTCAAGAACACGTACATTTACGTACTTCAATTTTCACTGACAAGAAATTTTGCATTTTCTTTCAGATCATGCCGTTACTGCCAGTAGTATTTTGCTTGTTAAGGTTTATAAGATCTTAAGCATCATTTTATGTTCATGTTTTCTGTGCATGAGTTCAATCACTAAAACAGATGAAAGGTTTTAATCTACTACTTAGAAGAGCATTCTCAATAAACAATTCGTAATTAAACAACACATCTTGACTGAGAAAACAATACAGTTACAGTGGAATAACAACAGAAAAATGTCTTTTTACATCTTTATAATTCTTCAGATAACCATTCTTGAAATTGCCCTAACACACGCTAGCACAGAAAGAAATGTAAACTTAAAACAAGCATATTTTGTCAGAAAATAATTGCAATACTATGTTTTATATTTGTGGATCAGTTCTGCTGTAAGGTATTCCAATGTATTGCATACTTCCAATAGTTAAAACTGAAGTAATTCATATTACAACAGGAAAAAATGAGGTAATTTCACAGAATAGAATCATCTAAGTTGGAAAAGATCTCCAAGATCATCAAATACAACCACCAAGCTGACCTACTGGAGTCCCATCACTAAAACATGACACTTAGTGCTACTTCCATGCATCTTTTACATGCTTATTTGGCTAGCGACTGCACTACTTCCCTGAGCATCCTGTTCTAATGTTTGACTACCATGTCCATGAAGAAATTCTTCCCTATATCCAGCCTAAACCTTCTCAGGCACAACTCATTTTCTTGTTCTGTTACTTGCTAGAGAATAAAGAGAATCACAACTTCCTCAATTCCTGAAGGCCTGCCTTCTCCTCCCATGGTACTTATTTTGCTTAGAAGGAAGAAAAAAATACTCAATTTCATTTAAACTTGATAGAGAACAGATAGATAGAGACAGATAATTCAAAAATCACAATTTCTTTTCTTCCCTTTCTTCTCAATTCTTACCAGAAACCTAGAAGACTGTAGTTGCATGCCACCCTCTCAAGAGTAGAGTGCTCTAAACTATTTTCATGTCACTGTGGGTTCAGGTTTCTATATTTAAGAATTTTCCTTGCCACCTCAACTCAACCTCAGTAGATGAAAACTGTAGAGATTCAAAGATTTCAAAAGAAATGCTTTGGGAGTGAAAAGGACAAAAGTGGGTATTTTATATAGATATAGATCATGCATGGGAAAAAACTTCACTGAAAGATTTTTCTTCTTTCAAAAAAAGGACTTTCAGTTTTCGCAGAATGAGTCTGACTGTGATGCCCTATATAGTGAAGGAAGGATGACACTAAGTTGGCAGGAAGCATTGATCTGCCTGGGGAAGGAAGGACTCACAAAGGAATGTGGGCAGGCTGGATAGATGGACTGAGGACAGTGGGCGTGAAGTTGATGAAATTCAACAAAATCAAGTGCCAGGTCCTGCACTTTGGTCACAGCAACCCCAGGCAATGCAACAGGCTTGCAGCAGAGTGACTGCAAGACTGTGCAGTGGAACCAGACCTTGGGGTATTGGTTGACGCTCTACTGAACATGAGACAGCAATGTGCCCAGGTGGCCAAGAAGGCCAGTGGCATCCTTACGTACCAGAAGCAATGATGCCAGCAGAAGCAGGGAAGTAATCATCCCCCTGTTCTTAGTACTGATGATGCCGCTTTTCAAGTACTGCGTTCAGTTTTGGTCCCCTCATACAAGAAAAACATTGAGGCCCTGGAGCATGTCCAGAGAAGGGAAATAAAGCTGGGAAAGGGTCTGGAGCACAAGTCTTATGAGGAGAATTATTTTTCTAGCACATCTATTAAAAGGATACTGAATTTATGAATATAGGTGTTGTGAATATCCTAAATCATCCAACAAGAACTGATTCTGAATTCTTGCAAAACTTTAGTTGACAACCAGTGAATTGATTCTGGAAGATTATGAGGATTATGAACCTTTTCTTGTCATATTGCCGAAAAGAGGAAAGTCCTCATGGATGCAAAGTAAGTAGCAGCATCTTCTGTTATTTAAACAGTTTCACTTTAGTACAAGGGTCCTTTAAAATAGTCACAGAGAAGTCTGATTTCTTTATGATACAAGACCTTTTAAAAACGTGAGGAAATGTAAAACTGTACAACAACAACCTAAATCGGCCATTTCAATAAAGAAAAGGTTTACACTATTATTATAGCCCAAGAAAAAAAAATGTTTTGTCTTACCTGTAAAGCCCTTGTCACATTCACAAAGAAAGGTGTTTGGAGTTACATTGCTGCAGTTACCATTGAAACATGTATGTGGTTGGCATTGTCCAACGATTTCTGTACAATTTTTACCTATTTAAAAGGAGTAATAAGAACATTGAATTTAATTAATTTTTTCCTCAGTATTTCAAATATATAAGTTAAATAATATATTAGATGGATAGATAGATATTAGTACTAATATTGATCACTATATTTCAAGAAAATTACTAGAGTTTTAAAGAACGGTACAAAACTGTTTAGTTACGTTAATATGAACTAATGTTATCTACTCCATCTACCACATGGTTAGAAATTCACGTGTAACATAAAATCCAGAAATGCAATTAATAGAGAATTATTTTTTGTTTTTGACACGAATATAGCCTACAGTTTCTTCCAGCATAAAAAGTAATATGAAAAATAAAGCTGCTTTCATGTGCAATCCAATTTTTGACTAAGTTTTTCTTATTATGCATCTTTCTGAGAATTACCATTTCAATTATCAATTGTTTATGCTATTACAGCATATGGGCATAAGAAAACACGAATATGCTTTCTACTTGTATTGTTTCTATAACATTATTTATGATTCGGCAATTATCCCACTTTCTAATACACTTTTTGTTATGGGAAATGCTTTTACGTCCCCACAATTTGATGGTTTAATTTCCTAGTTCTTGTTCTCGTACAAGTTTATTTATTGGACCAGTACTGTCAGTACAAAGTGATGGCATTAGCCAACACTGCCCCATATAGGCTAGCAGAATATTTTGAGCATTGCTTAATGACTGCATTAAACATGATTAGTTTTAATTACCTATGAATATTCCAACCAGTCTCAATAATAGAAGTAGCAGGGTTTTTAGGCATTATTATTTTCAGAGCATTTTATGCAGCCCCCAGAAATCTCAAAAGAAATGGGAAACATACTGCATCAGTGATTTCTGCCATTAGTTTTCTGCTGCTTTTTAAAGTTCTAAATTGTAAAAAAAAAATATTTTTCTCATAACACTGATATATTCACACTTGCATAATCTATTTGCAAATGCATTGGTAACTGAGCTATTACGCCATTTAAAAAGCAAGTAAAAATAAATTACATCAAACTTTATTTTAACATAATCTTTAAATTTTTTGTGTGAACCTACTCATTCCTGACTCATCAAATGTGATTCCTAACATAGCATCACAATTGAAAGACTCAACAGAATTGCAGCCACTGAGGGAACATTTGCTAGAATTCTGCTCCACAAGTACGGACAGAGTTGCAACAATCCTTCTTTTGATAGGAATGACTAATTCTGGTACTTTCTGGTTTCCTGAGCTGCATTATTCTGAATGCAGGAAAAATACATCCACTGTTTACATCATCCCCTTTTGTTTTTCCATGAAATCAAGACTATGACTGGGTAAGAATATATATAATCATTCTGTACTCTGATAGCAAACAAATATGTTCTCGCCTAGATGTACAACATAAATACTGTAGCTTTACATACATAAAATTGAGTGATTTATTATTATTATTATTATTATATGAAATATTTAATATGATGATAGCAACAATTAGTAAAACAAGCATGTTGAGAAAACTTCTTTGGAAAGGAACATGAAATGTAAAAATTATGGAAAACATGTAAATATTGGCTTTTTTTTTTTTTTTCCTCCTAATTAAACGAATTATTTTTATCGAAAACCTTGATTTTTAAATTTTCAGAATTTTGTTTAAGTAGCTGTTGTGGGCTGACTCCCAGGAATTTCTGTTATTTTGTGTAAGAAATTTTGTTGTTGTTGAGCAAACATATTAAAAAAAAAAAATCTGTTAATTCTGTGACATTCTTAAGTGGGAAAGAAGCATGAAGATGATATTTTAATTCTCCCTCTACAATGAACACAAGAATGTAAGCAAGTACAAATCTTTGAATGACTGCCTAGTTTCCTATGAGAGACTAACAGTAAAAGGCACTGTGCATATACAGTAGGGGCAATGGACAATCAAAATGTATGGAAACATTGTTAATGACATGCTCATTTTATATATATTCATACTCTTTAGAAGACAATAACACTTATTCATAGATGGAAAAAAATACCTGAAAACTCTGGAGGACAAGTGCACTCATATGAATGTCTGGTGCCTTCTGATTTCTCGGTACAAGAGGCATTGTTATGGCAAGGTTTAATGGAGCACACATTAAACTTCTGGCAGAATTTTCCAGAGTACTCTGAGAAACAATGGCAACTATACTGTTTTTCCCAAACATGGCTTAAACATCTTCCGTGCTTAGAGCACAATGGTGAATTTGGAGTCTCTTGACAAACCTGCTGCTTCACAGTTATGTTCAGACGAAGGCCCATGTTGCACAGATGTGGGCCTCTCTTATGTAGTTCTACAAAGTAATGAGTTCCAACACTAAGCCAGGTAGGGTCAACTTGGTGCAGTCCTCTTATCTGGCAAACAAAAATCTGCTGTTCTTGAAGAAAGCCACTTTTGGGGCAAATAATAAAGTCTTCCTTGGAGACATTTACCAAATTCATACCATAGGACTGAAATGATGGATCAGAAGAGATGAAGAGACTATCGCCCAATTGAAGCTGTACAGGGCATATCTGAGGGACACTGAGATATTTGTCTTCCCTAGTAGAGTTTTTATTCACATTCCAGCATTCTGAGTAAAAGTCTGTGCATATATTTTTCCTTAGTGTCCACTCCATTACAACGTGTGCTGGTTCCACTCGCCATTCAGCAATTATTTGCCTCTCACATATGGTCTGCCCCTTCACAATGCAGAGCTGAAGAAAGCACACTATGATGTGAACTGTTGATTTTGAAGTCATTGTTTCAACTAGCACGTGGGAGTCTTCATTCACATGTGCTTTATTACTGAAGATGGATTTAGATCACCTTTTCCTAAGCTGTTTCTGTATTCTCTTTGGTTGCCTAGGAATTCAAACAGAGAAAAGCACTGTTTTCATGCTAAATGTAGTAGACTGATAAAGGTTTGCTAAAAATTAAAAAAAAAAAAAAAAAAAAAAAAAAAAAAAAAAAAAAAGGGGAACACAGGGAAGACTCAGCAAAGTAGGGTTGACATGTAAGAAAACAATCAGAATTCTTTTTCTGACATTCCTCAGTTTTTCTTTCTTTTGGGCAAACCCATTGAAGGATGCAATATTATTTATGTACAAAGCTTAACAGTATATAGCACCTCCATCTGATGAAAGAAAGCAACATCCAGTCAGTCCTATATTCACAACTGTAGTGCATGCAGAAACAATCTATAGGCAGTCTGATGAAAGTGTGTATTAACTATGGTAAAAACACATGGCAAGCATTTACTGCACTGGAGTGACTTCTCTTCCCAACTAGTCAGCAACTTGATTTTGCCTTTGCCTTCTTGCTTGCCCTCTCCTTTTGCTTCAAAGTGATCTTCATTGTTTGAGCCAACCTCCAACAGAATTGGACCTCCTTAGGAAATCATGCATGAGAGTTTGGCCCAATGGCCTTTGTGAAGCAATGACCAGAGTTGTTAAAGTCTTAGATGAAATCATAAGGTTGTGATTTATTAACTAGCAACTAGTAACAGTGCAAGACCTGAGGCTTAGAATGCTAAACTCAAAAGGGGTACAAGCTGCATTTTGCTCACCTTCTCAAAACTGTTTTATTTTCGTTTAATTATCAAATTCCAATTCTGCCTTCAGATAAGACACACTCTAACCACCTACTTCACAGCCAGGCAGGTAAGATAATTCCTAATTCCTCACTATTTCCACACCTGGGAGCTAATTCCCTGTAGGGGAAAAAAGTGATTAGAAAAAAAGACAATTTTGCAGAATCGATATCCTTGAATAACAAGCATTACCTATATTGAGACTATTTCATCATCTTGAGTGTCACATGATGTTCAGCAATACCATTAAATAATGTTCTAGCAAATGTACAGTTTTGATCATTTAGCATTTTTTCTTCTCATCTAGCAAGTTGAACTATTATATCTGTTATAGCTGCTATTGCGTCCGTCACTATCATCAGATATAAAAGTCTATGCTTTATATTACTGAGTATTAAGAAATTCTGCATTCTGCAACCTGTCTTTACGCATCTTTTTTTGTAATGAGATATTCTCAGGGGTTACTAAAATTAATGTTTATAAAAGGTTATCTTTCTTTTTAGACATTTTGAAAAGAGAGCAATTGAATGACTAACATGGAAGAATTCTTGCCCACACAGTTCTCCTTTCATCTCTGTAATTCTGCATAGTTCTGATATCAAATACAGGCTTCTTTTTTACTGATAAAGAGTACCTCTTCAGAGTACTTGTATGGGAAAAAACTTCTGAACTTTTTCTAAGTAAATAATCAGTAGCATTAAAAAAGTTTATATTTGGTCTTTACAACATTCATTACCAGTCTTCATTCAACTGAAAGATATTGCTGTAAGAGTACTAGAATAACCAAGTTTAAATAAGCAATTTTAAATAAGCAATTTTAAATAAGCAAATACATACTGTAAAGCAATGGCAAGAATGCAAGAATATTTTGCAAGAATATAAAGCAATGGCAAGAATATTTTGCAAGATGCAAAATATGGAAAATGAAAACCAAGAGTGAATAAAGATTATTTGTTTGAGTTAGCAATAAAATCATGAGGAAAAAAAAATATATATAGTAAAGAGTATTAAAAGTTAAGACCTAAGCATGAAATAGCATCAATACTGATGTAGATTATGTAGAAAGTCAACAAAAAAATGCAATATCCACAAAATGCTGATACCATAAGTCATGAGATAAATTCGTTCCATGAGATAAAATTTGAAAGCAATTATAACTGTCAGATTTTATGTCTAGATCAGGCAAGAATAAATACTTCTTATAATTCCACATGCTTCCATGTAATTTATAAGGACAAAGAAAAACCCAAGACTTGCACATGTTGACACACAGTAAGATACTTCAAAACCTCGCAAAGGAAAAGTTACATAAGACTGGGTGAAAGAAAGCATAATCTTTTTATAGCAATGGAAAAGTGAAACAGCAAGGTTTGTGCAAGACCCCAGGGAAGTCATTTAAAAGCAAAAAAAGCAAAGTCTACGTCATTTGCATTCCAGTGCAGTATCTTAAATATTATGATTTTATTTTATTAATGAGTTATTAAATATTAATGACAAAAACAAAATGTATTTTAAGTAAGATTGCAGAAAAACCCATACAAGTTATATGACTAAAGAATCTAAAAAAAAAAAAAAAAAAAAAAAGAGCTAGCCAAAGAAGGAAATACATCAGAAAATTTTTATGAAAATCATGACCCTTTGCTTGGGCCAGGAATGCACTTCTTGCCCCCTCCTTGCATCTTGCATACATCCTTCCTGGTCTGCCTGTCACTCGTGGTTGGCTCTGGCAGCAAAGGGCTACGACCTTGGATTAAGATGGTATGAAGAGAGCTGGGAGAGCTGTAGGGGACCTTCCTGGAGGCCTCCTGCCTCACTCAGGATCTGCATTTAACCTCAGGCTCTCATCATTGATGCTGGAGCTGGAAAAGTAGTTGGCACTGTATACCATTTATCCAGGCCCTAACTCAAATATTCAATTTCCTGAGTTGATGCGGAGACTTCTCTCTCAGTGTGCTGCGTGTGGGAACCACAGAACTGTTGGCTCAGGGTTCCAGAGCTGTCAGATGTGTGATGGTACTTTGAGCTCACTGTCACACCCATTATCATCTTCTTACCCTTGAAAGACTTGCTGCTTCATGGGACAGTGATACCACGCTTGCTTTATTTCCAATGCATGTTTGAAAACATCTTTTTTAAGCATGAATTAAACTACAAATAATAGAAAAAATGCCTCAAGTTAAAGCACTTGCACAATACGGTTTCTATCCTGTGCATTTTACAAATATATGTGCTGTGTCTATTACATAGCAAGTTACCCTTTATGCCTTTATACTTACCACAAAATTAAAAATCCTTAGAAAATGATAGTGCCAATCTTCACTGTTTGTAAATGGTCATTTCCCTATTTGCACCATTTAAAACAAAGTGGTGGATGAATCATTTAACTTGTTAACATAATTTTCTAGAACACTGAACATCCTAGACTGCACCTCAAAATACAGAATCATTATTTCTAATTTCAGATAAACCACAGCTATCAACAGAAGTAGTCACAATGCAACCAACATCGGAGTTGTAAGGCTTCCTAATTCATAACCTTTGCTTAAGAATCCATGAAGCATAACTGCAGGCAAAACAGCCCTCAGTCAGGGACTTTTACTTGACTTGTGTTCACTGATTTATATTTTGATAATAACAACCACATAAACAAACACATGAATAGATGTTTTACTCTTACCCATCTCAGCTTTATCTGCAGATTGCACCGTTACTGTCCAAAATCCTCCAGAGCAAAGTAAGTAAGAAGCTACGGTGTTTTGCATCACTTTTTTTTTTTTCTGCTCCTTGTATTTAAAGGATTCTTGATGCTCAGTTCCCTATCCTGGTGTGGGTTGCCTATGGCTGCAGCTCCTTGGTGGTATATGTACCACAGTGGTATGGTGGGCCTCCATTCACATGTCTCCAGTTCCCATTGTCTATGGATCCAGATGTACATACACTTGAGCTGGGCTGTAAGCTCCTCTAGCTTAGTGGCAGTTTTTCCCTTCATTGTGTACATCAGATGCAGAACATCAGAAACCAGCCATGATGGGTACAGGCTCATTCATGACATGATTCCTCCACAGTCCTACAGCCTTCCCCATGCCTCTTACTCCTGTTTACTTCTCTTGCAGTTTTATGCACCTAACATGCTTGCATACCAATATAAAGACCAAGCACCTACCAAAAATAAAGTCCAATGAGACAAAGAGCCAAAATACATGCTAGAGAAAATACGTCATTTCCAAATAGCCTAGATAGAAAGCACCATTATTTTTTCCTGCGTTCTTTGCTTGTACTTCTCTACCTGGGATTGCAATACTTCCCCTGACTGTGATCCTCACTGTCACTTGCTGAGGTCACAAAGGCTGAAAGAAAGCTCAACAATAACAGGAGATTACAGTTACCTTGTAAATTGGGCAAACAGCTCAACACAGCATATTTCAAGATTAACAGTTAAATATCTACATAGAATCAGTGCCTGTTTCTTGGAACATTAGGTTAGAGAATCTACTAAATGCAAAGCAAGCCTTGCCATGATTTGTTACATTTTACTTCTTTATTCAGAATTTAAGAATGGCACTCTAACAGAGGCCTTTCTTTTCTTAGATTCAAAATGATTGTAGAAGCAACAAAATTAAAAACCTCCATAGTAGTTCCCAGATTCCAAAAAAGAAACTACTTTTACAGTTAAATTAGTAGAAAGAGCCTTAAAAGAAGTCAGCAGGATTAAATCCTCATAGAGAAAGCCAACATTATCTAAGGACACTGTATTAGAGGGAGGAAAAAAAAACCCTGCCACTAATGAGGACTTGAAAACAGACAAATAGATAAAAGGAGTTGATAAGGCTGAAGAGGAAAGGAAATCAAGGTGCACACCTCACAATCTTCAATTCCCTAAAAATAAACGAAACAAAAACATCACAGGCTCTGGTATATTGAGTGTGAAAGCATAGATTCATATAAAAAACACCAGAGAGATGAAAAATTCAATAAGCAAATAACAGTATTGAAATGAACAATAAATCACTAAGAACACTGTAGTAACAGAAAGCATAGCAGCCTCCATTTATATCGAGCAGACATTCTCTGTACAACAGGAGCGTTTGAAGAGATAAGTTAGAAAAACTAAATTACATTTTAGTTTTCTGCTCACTGTGAAAGAGTTTGGTTATCTGGTACACAGAATTTGTCAGCAGTTGGAGTGTTAATAGAAAAAGTAGATAAATGGACAGCAACAGTGAGTCTGATCCACAAAATACCCAGTGTTACAAGAACTCAAGAATTAAATAGAATAACTTATTTTTATACATATCCTCTTGCTGTGAGATATACTTCCACGTCAAATATTAGAGAAGCGTCAATATGACTCATGTAATGCAAAGTCAGGACTCAAAAGAATTATCAGAGTCCTCTGAGGATTCCTCATAAAAGGAACACTATAAAATCACTCTAGAAATTCAGGATTGGGACTTTGCCTTTTAAGATATCCTTCCTTCAGGCTAAGAAGAAATTGATGTATTTAACAGCATCATTTGTAGGAAGAGTCAAAGCATTACTCCTTCCTCTCAGTTGAGTGTCCTACTATGCTCACTCTTAATGAACAGGGAAACTTGAGTTATTTTTTGTTCAGTGGTATTGCAGTTTTCTGGAGTAGAGTTGAAAAGTGGCCTCCTGTGAATTCAGCTTATCTTCTCAGAGAAGATAGAAGGAGGTGATAGAAGGATGAAGGAAAGTTTTCATGTTCAGAGGAGAAAATTCAGGACTGATTGGCAAGGCAGGCACACTAGGTAGCTGGGTGCTTGCAATGCTTAAAGAGAAGTCACAGGCCTCCAGGGTGATGACAGTACTTTCTAAGGACTGAAGCACACAGAATTTGAGGGAAGCCAGAAGTTCACTGAGATGACTGAATTCAGGGACCTACATAGTGTAACACGAAAGAATTGTTCATAACCCCTATATATGTTCTATCCTGATTATCCTGCATTTTCTCTATTGCAAAACTTATAATTAAACAGTTGCTTCTTTTTTTTAGTAAAAAAAATATTTTTCTTTGCTTAAACCTTTGGAGGACCATGCTGGAATAGAAGGTCTATGCAGATCATGATTCTCTAGGAGGAACAAGTGTTCTCTGCCTTTAGGATTGACACAGCACCTTTTCTTATATCTTCTGAAGACATCACCGTGTCCCAGGATGTGTGTCCTTGTGTTGTTGCTGTGGTGGCATGAGTCACAATCACATTTACTGAAAACTGTGATCACAGTACAAACTAGAGAAGGAAAATACATATTCAAAAGATATCTCAGTCAAACTCAAAGAGAACTTCACAAGTCACTGAGAATGACATTCCCTCTAGAACCACTGACGCCACTCTGCTGAACAGAGTGAATACACTCTGCTGTAGTCACCAGTGATTTCTTGTAGTGAGGGGCCCAAAACAGAGAACAGTACTCAAGCTGCAGCCTCGTAAGAGCTGAGTACAGGAAGATGATCACCCTCTCTGCTCCTGCTGGCAGCACTGTTTCTGATGCAAGCCAGGATTCCACTGACCACCTGAACACACTGCTGATTCATGTACTGCTGAGCACTGACCAACAGCCCTAGGTCCTTTACCTCCACACAGCCTTCCAGCTACTCTGTCTCAAGCCTGCAGCATTGCTTGGGGCTGTCAAGGCCAAAGGACCTAGCACTTGGCCCTGGTGAACCCATTCTCTATTTAAAACTTCATATATGTTTCTTGTGAAGCCTGTTTTATACCGAAACCATTCCTGATGTGTGTTAAGCTTTTTTTATTATTATTATTTTAAATATTGCTCTTATTTTTTCTTCTGTTTATACATTATGTAGTCATTAAGACAATTCATACTAAATTAGGATCAACTGCACATTAGCTAAAATTGAGTTATATTCTATAGAAAGTTATTCTTGTGTATCTTTATCAATTTCAATATGTAACTGCCTTAAGAACATAAAGAATATAAACAGATCAAATCAATCTGTACCGTACCAGTAACTGAGATACACAAATCCATTTTAAACTGATTACCACCTTATTTTCATGTTTTCAATAGTCTGAGAATATTTCTTTTTTCTCTTTTTCTGTTTGTTTGTTTTTAGTTCCTATAGTATTCTTACTTCTGAATTCCACTCCAAACTATACCTTTTTAGTGCGCTTTGGGTCACATAATGCAGCGGTTTCAGAACAAGTGACCTTCAAATGAAATAAACCTGAAAGAAACATTGCAATAACTAACCTGTGTTCTGCAGCCAATAGCAGTCATCAGTCTGTATGTATAGGGAAAGCCGGCAATAACACATCAGAAAAGAAACTGTTATGGATGTCAGGTAGCTGTATCAAGTAGCTTCACTGCTTCACTTTCAATTTTTCTATTTTCTGCATTGCTTGGAAATGTAGACTTAACTGTGAATTAAAATAGAACTAATTTCTTAAACTATTCAAGGAGTTCCACCCTGCTGTATTCAATAGAATTGTTCCCCAATTAGAGCAAAATGAATTAAATCCATCACGTAGATTAATCTGCCTGAAATTAGCTGAAGGTTTAAAAAGAAAATTCGTTTTTGCTAAGCCCAGCTAATTTAGGTACTGTGAATTGATCTCTACAACTCGGTTAAAGGTATTAGCCTAAATTCTTCATTCTTAAGAAACTATATTAGTCAAGGATTGCTTGACTATTTCAGTTTATTGTAACTGTAGTTGAGAATAAAAAGGAGCAAGATTACTGAAGACTCCTGGATGTTCTACTTAAGTAAAAAATGAACAGCAAAGGAGATAGAAAGATGGAGTAAGGTTGGATGATAAAGGAAGGTTCAATTCTCTTTTGAATCATTTTGAAGCATTCAGGAAAAATCAATGGACTATGATTTTACTTTTTTTTTCCCCCCGCATTTATTTAAGTCATATACTGGAATGCATATTTTCCCTTATTCCAATAAAAGAAAAAAATGAGCGGAATCATTACCAATAAGAATGAAACAGTATTATTTTGTAACCATATATGTTTCAAAATTTAGTAGTATGGTATTACTGAGAATTCAGATACAATGCCTACATCCATACCACTAAACATTTTCAAAATTAAAGCAAATCTGAAGGCAAGATGCATAAAGAATAGTATTTAGACCACAAATATCTACTTCTCTGCCTAATTATATTAACAATAAAGAAAGAAATGAGTAAATTATTTATATATATATTACCAAGTCTAGTACTAAGAACAAGACATTGTTCTTCCACAATGTTCAGCTGTTAGGCTGTTTCTTGGAACTGTTGTGACTATTATCAACTCATTTTTACCAAACTGACTTGATCAGTGAGTTTAGAGGCACAGTTTATGAGATCTCTGGCCGTGGATCATTCCCAATAGGCAGTCAGAGAGCAGACAGACATTCTGAAGGCTGAGAAAGAGTGATAGTTTTGATAGGTCAGACCATCCCATCAAACCTCAGGACTAGAAAATAGCCTTTGTCAATGTTCAGTTCGTAAATTTCAGGCCTTCAGTGCTGAATTTGATTATTACATTTCAAGGAGCTAGAAAACACAAGACAAAGCACAGTATCTACATCCACTTCATGAAATTATTTAATTTGCCAAAATAAATGAACCAGAATAAATACCCAGAATATATTACTATTTTACTAGGATTTTAAAATACAGGTTTTATATAAAAGCAAAAAAATAAAAAATAAAATAAAATAAACCAGACACGTAAATAATGAAATGATGACAATAATTTCATTTCTATGATTCACAGCATTAAAGGGTTTCAATTATAATTATCAGTTTGTAATTATGTGTTTCACTTGATCCTAGACATTATTAATTCGCATTTGGGAAATGCATTTCCCTTGTAAACATCCCATATCTGCCAAATGTATACTAACAGCATGCACAATACCTAATTACAGATAAATATTTAAGTTCACATAGTGATGAAACCTCATTCTTATCACATTGCATAAGTGCATAAATGCAAGGAGTACACAAGGAGTATTAAAAACGTATGTTTCTCACAGTTTTTTTTTCTTTAATTTTCCTAATAGATGTGACAAATTTGATGTTAGCATTAAGACAATCTATTTAAAATGTTAATAATTAATATATTTAATACAAAAGGTACAACAGCATACCTAGGTACCAAGGAAAAGCAACTTATTTTTCAGAAGATTTTTGTGGATTATTAATTTACAATGAGGACAACGTGAACTAAACCACCATCCCATTGCATCTCCTGGTATATTCTCATCTACACTGGCTGGAACATAAATTAGTTTAAACTTCCCTTAATTTGTTAGACTCAATTTCGAAATAATAACTAAAAAAAAAAACACAAAAGATAGTACCATCTACAAAGTTATTGTACCACTTATTGAGGTTTCAGTTGCCCTCATCATAATTCTTGCACAAACTCACAGAATAAAGAATATGGAGCCTCCATACGAATGCAAAAAGAGAAAGCTCACAATTTTCATCTTATTTAATTTGAAGCAAACAAACAATTGGGTTGCTGATGAAATTATCTTAGGTCATCACTGTCAACATTTAGAATATCAAACAACCATTTACATACAAGTTACTATCAAAACTCTTCTAAGTTTTGTCTGGGATAAACTGCAGCAGGTGCACGGGGGAAATCTTTTTCCACACACAGCACAGGAAATTAAAGCATTTTTCAATGCCAGTCTTTCCACTAGCTGAGATGAATAGAATTTTAATCTAAATTTTGAACGAGAGAATAAGAGAATTTCAGCGTTGATGCCTGTAATGCTATAATGGGATGGAATATACCGCAATAATAGCAGTACGGCAAATTCTTTGAATACAGCAAATGAGAATGAGCCCAAATGCAGCAGCTGCAGAAATGAAGGAAAGAACTGCTTACCCTAGGCAGGCCACAGGTTGGCAGGGATCTCCAGCAAGAGACATCCTCACCTCCACTGCCAATACCTAAATGAGATCTGGAAAGGGCTGGATGCTGGCTCCACCCCTTCCAGTTATTCAGATGCACTGCTTGCAGCTGAGCTCCCCTGGATTGGCCCTGTCTTCCCACCAGGTGCTCAATCACTGGTTCAGGCCATGACTTAGCATTTTCATAACAATGTCAAAAAGATGTGAAGAGCTGGAAAGTATAGCATTAGAAATAAACGTGCAGTTTTCCTAAAAGCTGAGCTAAAATGAACACTCAAGTAATCAAGACTCTACCAACAATACTCAAAAACAGACTTTAACTTATTCAAATAAAAAACCTGTATATAGAAAAAGAAAAAAAAGTATTCTCCAGACTCTCCTCGGGAAAAAAATGATCACAATATTAGTTTTTGTTAACAAATGCCTTAGGATTAATTCCTGAATTCAAATGCTTTAATTGTGAGAAGGCAGATATCTTGTCACTTGTTTCAATTGCAGAATCACATTGCAGGACAGAAAGTGTCTTATGAACCTCTAAAGAGGCTATGATAACTTTAATAGCCTACAAATATCTGTTTTGGTCCTCAGGCTGCTTTTATTTAGTTGGTGATTTTATTCAATCACATACCTGTTTTAGAAATCAAAGCAGAAACACTTCTTGGCTCAGAGGAAAAAGGTCACTGATGCATCAAAATTAATTTGCGTTGGCATCTGAGTTTTGATTTTCTTTTATTAGAATACCACTGTTCTAATGTTAGATTTTAGATGGAAAAAAAGGTTTATATATTACTCAAATCCTCATCATGATCTCAGAAAAGTAATCTTTCACATAACTGTGCTGTTCTCCCAATCATTCATGGAAGAGTTTCATCTGCCAGAGTAGATTTCAGCTCTCAAGAAGCATGCAGACTGTAATTGGCAGAGCAAAACAGAAACTGGTTCAATGCTTCGTGCTGAGAGCACTTCATTTCTCCCAGTAGGCCTTGGCAAAACTCAGCAGAGATCAGAAACAAAACAAAACAAAACCCTTAGAACATCTGACAAAGAAAAAATTTACTGAAGTCTCTCTCAAACTTCTATACTTAGGAACTGATTGATGGCTACTGACCCCAAATCTGCTACAGCTTTAAAGTAAAATCACCTTTCTAAAAAGATACAATTATTTTAGATTTCTAGGATTATTAGAGGAAGATATTTATAAACCAGACATGATAAGGAGAAAAAGTATTGTTTATAAAATCTAATACCTGTTTTGTGTAGATACAACCTTTCCTGTGGTTCAGCAATTTTTGAAGATCTTTCAGATTAAAAAAAAAAAAACCCAAAACTGCTCTGTTCTCTGGAACCTGAGAAGAAAATTCCTGTCTCTCCTAGAGTTTCTGAAACATGCTTGTTGTTTTTTTTCTTCCAGAACTCCTGGCTCTATTCATGCTTGACTAACCATGCTTACTGGGATTCGTACTCAAAACCTGCGTTGCAACAGCTTCCTCAAAATCTTATATTCACCTACAGTCAGGTGAAGCTCACAATTCCATACAGACATCCTTTTTCATAAGGATATGATGGGGAACATATTTTGTTCTTCTCTGCTGCTCAGCCACACTTATTTTAACATGTTATGTAAAACACAGCAAAATGTAAGCAAACAAATGAAATCACTACCATCTGTCACAAGTATCAAGGAGATACTTCGTAGAGAGAAAGTTATAAAATGAGTTGCTCAAGCTGAGAACTATGTCAGAAGTTCTAAAATGATACCAGAGGATATATCATTCATCTCCTCATAAGAATGATAGAAATAAATTTGTTTAATCAGAGCCAAAAATGCAAAAAGTTCATCCATTAGTTACCATTAACTCAGAATACTATATTAACTATATTCTCTTATATAAATAAAATTGGAAAATGAATTCAACTCACTGTGCATAAAACAGTTTCTGAATATTTTCAGAAATTTGCATTAACATTCCAAAAGCTATAAAATATTTTTAATTCATAGCAGGAATATGAAGGAATATGCCTGTATTAGAAAATATATTCTATATATCTATGTATCTATATATCTATATCTCTCTGTCTATATATAGAATATGCCTATATTAGAAAAGCAGCTATTTCACTTTTGAAAATGCTTAGATGTTATTTTATTTGCTGTCTTAAAAAAAAAATGAAAAAAGAATTAATTTCAGATATATTCACTAACTCATCAGGGAATTCAACTCCCATAAATGAGATTTACAGTCCATTTATTTTTTCCTCATTTTTGGGTATTGTAAAAATTTTTATCACCCTCAGTTTTCCTTGTGTGAAAGCATTATTTTTAAAAACAGTATTTGTTTAAAATATTTTATCTCTTGACTTCTGTAACACATTGTAATATATGAGATATGCTTGGAGGTTACAATATCAATTTTTGACATTTGAAATTACTTTTATTTGATGTATGATTAAATTCACAATTTTACATCTTCTAACAGTATTACTATTAATTTTCCATCTGTGAAATTCAATTGTCATGTATTGCTGTGACTTCTTAGGGGTTTTAATCAGAATTAATCATCAGTGGCTTTTAAGTCCATACATCTGAACAATGTTTTCAATCTGTTCTCTTGAAAAAGCACTATTTTTACAAGTTACGTTCTGAGCATATCAATCAGTATGATTTTTCATTTTGTTTTGTCGTATTGAAACCATACTATAGATTTCACTAAAATCTTTAAAATAACACAGAGATATTTACTTCAGACAGCAAAATACATGATATAATTGTAATACAGCGAACAGTTCTATAATGATTTTTCATTCTTAGTTGTTTGCTTATTTTAATGAGTATTGGTTTCCTGTGTTACTGTGTTATTTATCATTATTCATTAATTGCAAGAAATATTATTCCTAAAGCTAATCACACAATAAGATTTTATTATATTATTTGTGTAAACAGTGAAGAAATAGTCCGATTCCCATATACCTTCAATCTGCAGATCAGAAAGTTTTCAGAAGAAAGTTTCATAGAAAGGTCAGAAAGATCCTTCTGTAGAAATTAATAAGAAGTGCATTTATCTGTATGACTTCATTCTCCCCTCCTCAGTCTTATTTTCTCATATTTTTCCATTTGACACATTTTACTTCCCAAAAATTTTTGTATTCTCACCATGTAGTGGTTGAAAAACCTTTCAGTTTCCTTGCTATTCCTTTCTCATTTCTTCTATATATAACTGTCAAAGTCTGATTCCCACCCTCCCCCTCCCCCACCCCCCTTTTTTTTTTTTTCCTGAGCTGTGTATTTGCTAGGTATTTTGAGCTGTAGCTATTCCTAGACACTGCCTTTTGAATCGAGGAATTCTAGAATTGCTTGGGTTGGAAAATATCATAAAGATCATCTAGTTCCAACCACTACCATGGAACAGGGTCACCAACCACTAGACCAGGCTATGTTCCCAACCTGGCCTTGAACATCTCCAGGGATGGGGCATCTACAGCCTCTCTGGACAGCCTGTGCCAGTGCCACACCACTCTCAGAGTGTAAAAAAAATAAAAAATAATAATAAAAAAATCTTACTATCTAACATAGCTCTTCTCTCTTTTAGTTTAAAACCATTCCCCCTTGTCCTATCACTTTCTGACTGCGTAAATAGTTGTTCTCCGTCCTTCTTATAATCTCGTCTCAAGAACTGGAGGGCCACAACAAGGTCTCCCCAGAGCCTCCTCCAAGCTTAACAAGTCCATGTCCCTCAAACTTTCTCCATAGGAGAGATGCTTCAGCCCTTTGATCATCCTTGATGCCCTCCTCTGGATCCGCTCCAAAAGCTCCACCTCCCTCTTGTACTGACATCACCAAGCCTGGATGCAGCACTCCAGATGAAACCTCACAATGTCAGAGTAGAGGGGGACAATCACCTCCCTCTCCTCGCTGGCCTCTCACAACTTCTGATAAGTAGTTGTATTTATATTTGCATGTGCTACATCTGAGAAGTCTTAAACTGTGGATAATAACTTTAGATTGAATGTTTCATACATAAATAACCGTGTAACTTTTTCATTTGAGCTGTAGGTTAGATGTAGTAACAAATCTGTCTAATAGCACTGTAACTTCATTTGTAAGATTAGAGACCTGTTTAATATTTCTGGCAATTCATATTTTGAGAATAAAAATGTGCATATTTTTTAGTTTTCCTATTATAAAAATGCTATGTTCTTTCTTTAAGTATATATAAACAAATTGATATGTTATAGATTTGTAAAATTATATTATTTATAATGTTAGAAATTCATTTTTCTCTTACAAATGCATGAATCAATTCTAATTTGTAATTCACATTCAGTGGAACATTTACAAGTGGAATAGAAAAAAAGGAAGTTAACTGCATAAAAATGTGCTGCTAGCAACCCATCATATTCAAAACTTTTAAAATGGTAATAATTTCTCATAAAGTAGTTAGGCTTAGCATCTGTTCAGTTAATTGACAGTAATCATTCTCACAGAACAGGCCATGATATCCTCTAATTCACAGATCACCTTTACAGTGAAATAGCCAAACAGCAATGTATGACCTATTTTAAAAGTCTTCTTTCCTCATAGGACAGAACAAACATTGAGTAAGCACAATAGCAGTAACCTACTTAGAGGCATTTTCTACTCTTTAGAATCTTCTGCATTTCAGCAGAAATACCAAGAGTTAGTAACTTGGGAAACATTTCTCCAGGAAAAGGTGTACATCATGTGCTAGGTTTTCTTATGTTTTTTCATTTTGTAAATTTGTTGCATTTGCTCTGTGACACCGTCAATGTAATCATGGAGATTTGCAGCACAGGTTTTGTGCTTTCCCCCCCCCCCCCATCTGGAGAGCAGAAGGCTGAGAAAATATATATTAAACATGTAGAATGTGAATAGGATGAAAAATGTCTTTGAACTTGAAAACAATCTTCCTTAGCCTTAAATTAAAGTCATTGCTTGAATAATTAAAACTTAATGTTTGTTAGCTAGGCCAACAAAGAAATAAATACATATATTCAAAATATATGTATGCACACAGAGTAAGATAAAAGTAAGTGATGAAAAGATAAAGCTATCCAGTCTGCTGACATTTTTTAGTGTGTGGTATTTCAGACTTTTTTAGGATTGCATTTATTGGCCAGGTGTACCATTTATATATCTGTCAGCAGTGTACAATGACAGTATCCAGAGCACATAACTGAAATAAAGTGGAATAAGATTTATGTTCTGTTTCAAAAGTGGCCACTATGGCTTTTAACAGAATGAACTACTCCTGTGGTAGAAAGCATTATCTTGAAGGTAGAAGTCACTTTCCCATCAGCATTTGAAGGAGCGCTAATGATGCAGGAGATCACTGTAAAAGATGAGTATACAGATGTAAGTTATAGGCTTTAGGAAAATGAGATTTGATCAGTCAAGCATTTCAGGTGAAGATCATGAGAGCAGTTAATGAACTTGAAAAAAGGTGTTATGTCTCCTGAGATAGTCTCTTAGTGACTGGGAGGTAATGGTACATATTTGCAGAAGCAATTTGGGTGAGACGAGCTAAAAGAAAAATCAAAAGCAAGTAATTATCAGAAATGTCGTACATATTGCTTTATTATAAATGCAAAAATCTATTACCTACGTAATAATAAAAAGGTTGTTTTCTAGACTAAAAATACTACATAAATCGCCTTTTTTCATCCAAGAAAACAATCGTCTCATAAGAGGTTAATTATTTCTGCTAATATAACACTGATTTCAAAGCAGAAATTTCAGGAGCAATACTGAGTTCTCAGCAATGCAACCTCATTATGAAAACTTCTGTAACAGTAAAAAAAAAGTTAAAGAGATTAAGATTTAAAACTGCTTATCAGAATCCTGCCTCTCAAATTCTTCTTTTTAAAAACAAATCAGAACCATAATTTACATTATGCCAGTTGCTCAACTGAACTATATCATGTGATACCCAACACTTTAGTCAATTTAAAGCATTATTTGTGTTGAGCAGGACATAGTATAACTGTGAGATCACTGGACAAAAAAATAAAATAAAATTTACTGGACAAGAAATCCTAGGGATTTAAGACAAGAAAAACAGAAAGTTTTCAAAAACATTACCACAGGTGATAGTTAGCTGATTCACCATTGTTTCAGTTTTGTATTAGTGTATAGAGCCTTTCATATCAATTATCCTTTATGTACAAATTTTGTATTACATACTCAGAAAGAATAAAGCTATTGCATTTACATAAAAAGAGTTTATAATTGTCCTGTTTCATATAAAATGTCAGCCAGCCACAAATATTGTGATCTGACAGAATTGGATGCAGTGTCCAAAACTTAAATCGAACTTGATTTACATATTATTACACTGCACCACTTCCATAGAACTTTTGGAAATAGGATTTTTTATCTGGAATCAGATTTGCTTTTTAATAACACATTTCAATGTCACTAGTTAGACAAGAACCATGCTTTGCAAGTAGGGAAGATCTTCATTAAGAAATCACCTGAGAGTACTTCAACATATTTTCACATTCCCTTGATAAATTAAGGTTATTTCAGATCTGAAATAAATCTGTTCATTTGTTGGCTGTGTTTATGGAGTTAAATTGAATAAAGTTCTTAAAAAAACATTATTGCTCTTCAGCTGTAAGCTTTCTTACTTCAATGACTGTGCAGCTGATGAAAGTATAGAGACTAATGGTGAAAACAGGAGCGCAAGATCTGAGAGTTGTAAAGACAAACTGCTCTTTAGCCTTTCTGAATATAAAAGGAAAAAAAAGAAGTCACATAGCATGCATATAATTTGTTGCATTTGATTCAGTCACCAGTCATAACTTCAACAAACTATATTTAACATGAGAAATTGTATGTCCAGTTCTGATGGATAATCTAAGAGCTACATAATCAGAATGTTATAAAATAATTTGTTGAACATCCAAAGAAGAAAAAAGGTTTGCAAGAAGAACCAAACCAGGTAAAAACCAACCTGCGGTAATTTTCATACAATGCTGTATCAAAAGTAAAAAAATAATCTTGATTTCAGCAGTGACAGTTCATATTTGAAGGGGAAAGATTTTCAGCAATTTCATTTACTTTGTCACCAATTACTTACAATAATCAAAGAATACGGAAAGGTTGACATGTTGCTAAACATAAGTAATAGATGGCAGCACTGCAGTCTTTTCAATCTATTGCTAAAATGTCAAGCTTCAAATCAGCATAACTGCTGTAAAACAAAACACAGCACTTCACAGAGAAAACTTCATGTCTTTGAAATAGTGGCTTAGCTCTGAAACAAAATTACATTAGACAAATGAAAGCTAAGCAGCTATCTACCATCACTACCTGCATGGCTACCTTGGAGAATTTAATTGGCAAACTGTTGCAAAAGCAAAGCTAAAACTTGAAGATGACTTCAAGAATTTACTTGCCAAAGCAATGATGAGTTAAGGATCAGGGCAGCTGTGTGCAAATGCTAAAGATATTCCTTAAGTCTTAAATAGAAAGGAAAATGGCTAAGGCCAAACAGCATAGCAACCATCAATCCTAAACAAGTCTTGCACAAAAGGAATCTGAGAGATTTGATATTTTTAATTACGCTATCAATAACTTGGGATGCTTGATTTCCTGCTCATTTAGTCAAACCCTCATTTCTTTTCCTGTCATGCTGATCAGGAGGCTCCAAGAGCACTGGATGTTTCGGCACAGTTATATCTTGTCTTGAAAATACTATTCTTCTATTACTAAATTTCTCACTTGTACAGGGTACTAGAATATCTGATAAAAGCATAGTTTGCTCTAAAATGAGAAGCTTCAGCATCTTCAAAACATTACACATTCTATTCATGTGTATCTTCATGAATACATATAACTAGGATTTCTTTTATTTGCACTCTCAACATGCAAAGCATCTTCTTTTGCATTTCTAAGATGACCTCTGGTACCTACAGTCCAGTGACAAAGAAGAAGAAATGAAAGGGAAAAAAATCACAAAAAAGTTAAGAAACAGAAGCCTACATCATCAAACAAATGGGTCTTTAAAGGGCCTGAAACACAATTAGGGCAGGGGCTGTACGTGCAAGCTGTGTTATGAAGTGCAGTACATAAAAAGCCCTGCAAGGGAAGGTACTGGGTGAATGTGAGAGGAGCTTACAAATAGGCAGTCAGGGGTGGAAATCCTAGAACTCAAGATTGAAATTCTTCATACATGGATGAAAAAGAACTATGCTTTGAAGAGAAAGTAAATAAACTAATAGTATCTGAAAAATGTTAGATGTGTTTTTTAAAAATGTGAGAAAAAATTATCTAGTTAAATAAACCCTGGGAAGACTTAAGGAAAATGTAAGCATCTTTTTTCCTGCATCATTTACCTACTCTGTTTACAATGAAATTGGAAAGTCAGTGTTATTATTCCTTTTAAAATATATATTATTTCCTATACTTTCCTATATTCTCCTAATTTCCTTGTTAGCTTGAAAACCACACCGTTTAAAATAAAATTTAATTTTTAATAAGCTATTGATACATTTTGATAATATTTGTTACAAATAATGAGGAACTTTTAGTGATTCTTGAACATAGATTTGATGCAGTTCTTGGAAACTGAGAAAATTTTCAGTCTGAAATTCTGAATGTCTTTAGAGAATGATGGTCAGAATAGATTGCATGATGATTTTTGAAATACAAATATCCTTCAATCACAATGAAATCTAGGTTATTCAATTCAAATTCATTATTACTTTCGGAGAAAGCATGTTTGAAGAATACTTAAAGAAACTATGTCATATAAACATTGCATTTCTATGTTATTCTATCCAACAAATTTGTCATTCCATATTTCTTGTGGAACTACTAACATACATTAAGTGATATTGATTACACTGAGCTTTGAACTGAAATATTGATTTTAATATTTAAAATTTACACATTTTCTTCATTGTTCATTCAGTTGTTGATTTATGCCGATAATAGAAATGCAAAGAGTTACACTTTTTTCAACCACAAACTTAACTAAAAAAACTCATGCATTTGAATCTTGGATTCATTTTTCTTGCTACTAACACAGCTGAGGATATTGTGTTCACTTTCTTTTTTTCTTTTTCCTATTTATTTATTTCAGAGAAAAAGTGATAATCTATCTTTTTTGCAGTTTGATATTTAGGGTGTTAATAGTACTCACTTTGACAAAGATTGCAATTGAAAAAGAACTTCATTAGATAATAATGACACAAGGGAGCAGAACTTCATGTAAACTCATTAGGTACTAACTGAGATTCCCTTTAGCACCTACTAAAGAAACCCAGCTGCTTCTGTACATTGAAATACACATTTTCTTTGCTCAGTCTGGCAAGTAGCGCAGCTGCTCACAGATGACAACTTCCCTAGGAAAAACGTGATTAAGAAAAGACATATGACACAATATAACAAAACCATCCACTGTTGCATGACCAAGCAAGTCCACAGAGGTGGTTATGAAATTATCTCCATTCAACTCTATTAAATGTTATCATTAAGGTAATAACGTAAAGCAAAATACTATTTCTTTTACCTCTATGGGTCTTTTTTTTTTTTTTTTTTTTCCAGTGATATATCTGTTTGTGCAAAGGATTTATATTCATGCAAGTGGAAAAATAAACTTCCAATTTTCTGGATTTGTGTAGAAAGCCTACACTACATCCTCTTGCTGGTGTTGTTTAAAACAAGATGCCATTTAGTGTGTTAGCACTATTAAACTTCCAACAAACAATGGCAATGCAAATTTAATAATGCAACTTTGAATAAGAGTTTGAATGTGCACACTTTCAACAGAAAAAAATTATTTTAAATATGGCTTAAATGCTATATTTATAGAATAGACATGAATTGTACTTAACTATATCTGCTTTGGAGCATACGGTGTAAATGAAAGTTAATTTATTCATTTGCTGCCATGAGACACAGCTATTGAATTGAACGTCTTCCCACAGAAACACTCCAGATATTTTATGGACTCTGAACCTGACTTTTCAGAATCGCAGATCATGTTAAGTGATGAAAGGGACCAACAAGTAAGTACTAGAAAGTTACATTTCAGTGTAATGTTTGTTGAGCACTATCCATTTCAGCTTTATAGTTTGGTGGGATTTTAGAGAACAATGTAATGGCAGCTAGATATTTTTACTCTATATTTGCTAGAGATGGTGGTTGAGCAAGTCCACTGAATTTGAAGTTCATCCTCTTTTTCCATAATACACTTTAATGGGTTGATAAACTGGTTTACAGCCCTAATTCTAAGGCTTCTAATATCAGTCTTTGTTTTGACGAAACAAATTAGTCATAGCTGATAACTGAGCTATGACTCTTACTTTTCACATTAACATGCTCTAAGCTGGTTCCTGATGAAGTTATCATGGGAATGAGAGCTGTGGCTTATGTTACCTTAAATTCCTCTTGACAGCAAAGTGCTCTGGCTTTTGTGTGGGAAGTGAACTGGATATGATATTGAATATCCGAATACTAAAAATGCCAATCTGCTTATTTAAATCATGGCATAAGCAAAGATTATACCAATCTCAAAACAAAACAATGGTGGACACTACACTGACTACACAATTACTCATGTATACACTCAATAATATAAAGGTGAGCTACACTGCATTATAACAAAAGTGTGATTAGTTCTTATTTTGTATCTTGCAGCAACCAACTGTAAATGCTCAGGAAAAAGACTACAAACAGGCAGATCTGCAGCCCAACTCCTAAAGACATACAGCTGGGGAACAGCCTAAGCCAAAGTAATAAACTTCATATTTTACAGCTTTCAGTAAATTTCTTGATTCATAGAAGTTTACCATTTTTACAAGTTCTTCCTTAAAAAGTTGGATATACACTTATTTTCTTTAGTACTCCCCCCCTTTTTTTTTTTAAAATATAACCATTTCTATTCTAAACATCTCAGTAAAATATCAGAAAGCAGTGTATTAGTACATAAATAATACATAAAGATTTTCCTCAGTTCACAATCATTTCACACCATTTTAAACAGCTGTGAAGATAAAGCAATGATAGTAAAGACTGAAAGGAATAAACACATTCAGAATCCCCACACCTGTTAGGTCACCAGTTCCAGTTATAACACCCCTACGCCTGCACTTAAGTAGATCTCAAGATAAAAAATGACTTTTTTTTTTTCCTTCTTTAGTATCTATAGGTTTCCTACATTGCATTTCAAACACTTCATTCTAAACAATGAAGGTTGTAAGTTTCTGTTTTGAATAAGAAATTAATTGTCAATCTAAGCCTAAAAGTTAATGCACAACAGATAAAATGGGAGAGTGAGTATTAGCTTATTAATACAAAATACCAGTAAAAGATCTGCATCTGAAACTACCATCTATTCAAGCATCAGCTGATGTGCTCTTACTCAGATGATGGCTGATAAACAAAACATCACCAGTTTATATTTCAACAGAAGTTGCATATTCTAATATTCTGTTATTCACATTAGCCAGCAATAAGCACTTGAGAAAAGAATGGAGGAAACAGAGCAAGCGTGAGTAAATTGCATTTAGTGATACTATTCAGTACCAATTAGAGTAGCAGTTTCTGATTGACCTATCATTAGGTAAACTACTTTTTCTCCATCCAGACATATGCTATGGCAATGTATCCCACAATTTAAGCTATAATGCATTATGTTAAAAATAATACATTTTTTTCTTTTTCTTAAGTCTGGCATTGTTAACTGTAAAATGTTGCAGCCTAACAGTTTTCTATTCTTCAATGATTTAAAAATCTTTTTGTTCCTTTATTGAAATTATATGTAAGGATCACATCATGCCTTAACTAAAGGCAACATTTTGCTCAGAAAGCTACATATTTTAAGTACTTAATCAGGAAGATTAAGGCACACCTTTAGTTTCCACCTCAGCGATGCAGGATACAAATCTTGTCCCTTCAATTTCAAGGGAGAATAACTTGGTAATTAAGCTGCAGAGTAGTTAAGTATATGTATAGTTAAATCAGTTTGGTTCAAAATCAAATATGTAATATCCTCGACTGACTTCACTTCAAGATTATCTGGGAACAGTTGGCTTAACTATTTGATCAATGCTACATGCAATTACTGGGGATAATTTTCTGCTTAAGAAATCGTGACAGAAAGTATGAAAGAAGTCCATATATTTTCCTGCCTCTGGTCTTCTATACGAAATCCTCCCATAGAGTACCTATGAGAGTGCCTTTGTCTTGATCACTGGAGTGTGCTTAGTTTCACAAAGCCTTATGATGGACTGGGGAAGGGAAAAATTATTTTCAGACTTGTTTAATCAATCTCACCAATAGATCTTAGTATTTCTGCTTAAAGAATCATTTTCCTCCCATTTATTATTCTTAGAAGCTCATAGTTGTATTCTTAAAGGATGAAAAAGACTCAGTGACAAGTAGTAGCCAATTCTAGTTAGCAATTTATTTCAGCTGGATATTACTAGCACCTAAGATCCAAAAGATAGCCTAGCCTTTGAGGTAGGTCCTGCACTAAAATGAAGATGAAACTTATGACTACACACGATTAGTTACGTAGTATAATTACTTTCCAAAAATCTTGTATTTACTCAGGGAATTACTGTGGGACAGCTCCCATTCATGACAGGTCTTAATCTATTCATTGAAGAGGTGAAAGTAATGATACCAGTTTATACACAAAGACAGAACAAGATATCCAACAAACTAAATCACAATTCAAGCCAAGAATGAAATATAATCATACTACTCAGAAAGAGTGGTTTCGGTTTCTGAAAGTAAACTTAGATTTATGCGCAGCAGAGAAATACCAAAGATGTGCAAGGAAAAAATGGCACCCAATGCTGCTAACCCAAAAAACATCTGTTAGGAGATTTTTGATGTTCCTATTCTACACATTTACATCACAGTAAGTTTTAACTTTTAAACTCAAAAACACAGTGAAAGTAGTCTGCTCAGCACTGCAGATGTACAAACAAGCAAGGTCAAAATAGCTACAGAGCAATTATACAAATCATCATCCAGGATATTCTGACAGAGAACATTAGAACATCCAAGATTTACAGTGAATAAAACATAAACAAGCTTTATCAGATTATAAAAGATTGAACTTCAATTATTTACAAAACTTTCTGTTTCTTGTTATATTACATTGGTAGATGTAGTACCAAAATAATATCAGTTCTATTCTTATGAATTACATGTACCTTACACTTTCTGATAGTAAAACAATAGAATGTGGGCTTGGTATAGAAGTTTTGAGAAAAAATAAAACCAATATTTATAATTATTATAAATATAACTTAAAATAACAGTTATACCTTTGAATATTAAAGAAGAAAGAAAATACAAAAAGTATTTATATATATATGGTTTTTGTTTTGTCAAATATATATATATATTCAGCACAGTTTGCTATTAAAGGAGTCAGAAGTAAGAGGAAGAGACAGAAAAGTCTAAATTTTCACTGCATTTTCCCTTTTTTATCTTTCAAAGATATAAAGCTGCTT